AAAGTTATAAATACAAGATTTACATTTTTATTTTATAAAATAGAATATAATCTTAAAATAAAAAAATTTTATAAATATATTAAATATATTAAAAAAATAAAATAGTGTAAGAAAAATGTAATTTGATACAATTTTATTTTGTAGCAAAAAATTGCTTTGAAATTATAATCTAAAATACGTAATTGAAAAATACAAAATAAAATATTTTAATAAATTTTATAAATTCGATGTTGCCATAAATTTTTTGCACATTTCATTAAAATAATATAATTGTATAATACATTCGAAAATTTATTTATGTATGTATGTATTTTTATTACAGTCATACTACAATAGTTCGATTAATGATTATTTCATATATATTAAAAATATTTTCATATGTATAATAATTTAATTATTTTTGCATTCTTTCTATGCGATTATTCTTGTATACATTAAAATGCAGTCATTCGTTTTGGAGATGAAGGAGATAGACATTCGATTAAAGATGTTAAAGCCTATAATCATGCTTATATCAGCCAAGATTTATTTTTCTTAAATTGTTTTATTTTTATTCAAATGCTGATTTTAAAAAACAGATTAAATTTCATTATTCAGATATTAACATAATCTATAGTTCATATTAGATTTTATAGATACATACCTTAATTTTATAAAGATATAAATTAAAATAAATTGGTAATGCACAAAAATATAGAGTATTTCATCTTAATTCCAAATTTCACTTAACTTTTATTCCAATCATAATTAACATTTTATTATATTTATAATTTATTAATTTTTAATTTATTATCTTTACATTATACATACGAATTGCAAACACTATTAAAAGATCTACAAAGGGAAATGATAAATAAAGTTACACTATAATTATAAAAGTAAAAATATGTAAATTTTTAGTGTATTATATAAAGTATACTTACAAAGTTAATTTTTAAGTATGCATAATGAACATTATACATACAATTAATATATACAAATATTTTAATTTGTTAACAACTCCAAAATAATCATGGCAAATATTGTTCTTTAACTTTAACTTAGGAACAATCATTGCCATTTGTATCTAATAATTTATTAATACTGGCATATTTTAAATCTTAATAATTTTCATTCATATTGCCAGTAACTTTACATTTATACTTGCAATATTTTACATTTTTATTATTTATACATAATTAATAAATCATGACAATATGACAATGTTTCATTTTAATAAACACTATTGAATTTTACACCTGTATTTAAGTACATGGATATAATAAAAAAAAATTATAAAATATTAAACAATTATTAAACAAACTAATGAATTTATTTATAAATTTTGATCAAAAAATACAATTAAATATTTTATTAATATCTCTGGCATAAAATATTAATTCAATTGTTAAAATCTAAAACCAACATATTGATATAATTTAAACTTTCATACTTATAATTTTAAAAACCAGAAATTTTCATATTATATATTTTTTAAATGTTTTTTTGATAAAAACTTTTATATCGCATTTTAATTATTTGTAAATTTCATATAAATTTAGTAATATAAAAAAGTACATATATATCTAATAATGCACATCAGAATCAAACTTACATAACTCTATTTGACTGGCAAATTGTACATTCAACTTTTATGTATAGATATAAATATTACTCTAGTAATATACATTTAAATTTATTTCCAATGGTGCTTTGGCAAATATATTTTCATAGCACCATAAAAAGTGCAATTTCATTGTGAAGCATTTAATTTTAGCTAATCTTTGTACTACTTCAATCTATTTATACTTCAACTATGAAATGCAAATTCTTATGTAAAATTTTAGTAATAGTTTCAAATAAACGAAATTTTGCTAATTATAATAAATAAAAAATTTTTGTTTGCAATTTTTTAATATAATTCTAAATATTCAGTACTACAAAAGACAGTAGCATAATTCAGTCGTTTATCAAAATGAAATTAATGAAATTTTGTATTATTTTTGACTGATAAATCAAATGATAAAACTTTTATTCTTACAATTTGTACATCAATCTAGTGATCAATCTAAAGTGAAATTTTGAATCATCATACAAATAATTAGTTATCTATATTTCCTTCATAGAAGGATTCACATTTTTCTAACAAACGTAGAACTGGATTTATGTTATAAGGAAACAAAGCTTTTGAGACTAATCTATCAATTGCTAAACGAAGTCTTATCAATATTGTCATGGTATCATCTAGTTCTCTTCCACAACAAGAAACAAATTCTGTCCAATTTCTTTTAACATATTTTAAAAATCGCAATAAGTATAATAAGAAACAAGTCTCATTACTAACAAGTAAATCTAATAAGACATCTGGATCATGTGATACAGCATGTATAAATTGTATAAAAGTTAAAGTTGGACTAAGCATATGACCAAGATCATTTTGTGGAGGTCCTCTATAAAATAAACCAACAGCTACATCTAAACAACATACCATGCCTTCAATCAAAAAATCATCTTGATCATGAAACATTTGTACAACCCACTGTGATAAAGGCATTTCAGGATGAAATGGCATTAAAGTTTTAACGCACTGATCAAGTTGTCGTAAAACTTCTCTAATACTTCTTTCAATAACTGCCATATCAGCATCAAGATCTTCTGCTTCAGAACCCAAAGAA